CTTCTACTTTGTATCCAAGGAAGAGCTATTAATTTTAAAATATTAACTATTGAAAAGGTATGAGGGAGAAAGTGCAAGAGAAAGATAGATGGCTGTTAACTAAATTGTGGCAGAGTTACAAAAAATTGAGGCACTTTTACAGGATCGATGGCAAGGACAGTACTAGATTTGCCAGAGGATGCGGTTTATTAAAGTCCTTGATGATGGGAAACTTATGCCAACATTAATCATTTTAGAGCAAGGCTTCCAATAATATACTGTAGGAAATGTCCCAGAGTCTTAGACCTGACAATCTGTCACATATTTTTATTACATGTTCCAGGGGAACAAAGAGCCACATTTTGAAAACCTATGTTCTTAAATTAAGAAGTGCAAATCTGATTCTGCACACCAGTCTTCCATTATAGTTGTCTGGACACATGTACTGAATCAGGTAATTTGCTGTATCTAATTTTGTGTATGACACCAAACATACACCAGAGCTGGATCTTTGTCATCCTTAATTTAATTACTTTCTGGACAAGGCAGGTGATGTATTAGTCTGTTCTTGAATCACTGGTCCTGGACATTATAACTAACAAGGATATATAAATGCTAGAGACAACTTTCAGGTCAGAATTTGCTTCTCTTAAATAATCTTCTTACACAGGTTATCCAGAACTCATTCTAACTGGAGTGCCAACCTGTTGGTTTCTCTCTTGCTTGGCAAAATTATCAGCTTGAGTTCAGCTGATGCTGGTCCCATAACATTAACTAATATAAAATGCCATTCTAAATTTATAATTTCTTACAGAATCCTACACCCATAGAATAGCTTGGTTTAGTTTCAGATCTTCGTGATATAGTCTTTGTTCTTTCAAGGCGTCTTTTTCTTTTGGATTGCCTAATCCCTCCAAAACAATATTCAGTCTTTCATAGTTGAACCTTAAAACCTTATGGACTTTATCACATCCTGGCTGCATCCAGAGCCCTGTGGCCAGCAGGTCCAGAGGAGTGATTCTACCCCTCTACCCACCTTTTTTGAGCCCCCACCTGCAGTGCTGCGTCCAGCTCTGGGACACCAAATACAGGAAAGACACGGGCTTGCTGGAGCAGGTCCAGGTGAGACCCATGAAGGAGATCAGAGTGATGGAGCAGCTCAGCTATGGAGACAGCCTGGGAGGGTTGATGTTGATAAGCCTGGAGAAGAGAAGGCTCCGAGGAGACATTTGCAGCCTTTCCATGTGCAGAAGAGAGACTTTGTAGTGATAGCATAATGACAATGGTTTTAAACTGAAATAGTTATCAGAAATTAGATTTTAGGGAGAACTCTTTTTATTTATGAGGGTGGTGAGGCCCTGGCACAGCTTGCCCAGAGAATCTTTGGAGATTCCATCCCTGGAAGTGTTCAAGGCCAGGCTGGGTGGGGGTCTGAGCAGCCTAGTCTAGTGGGAGGTGTCCTTGCTCATGGCAGAGGGGATTGGAACTGGGTGATCTTTAAGGTCCTTTCCAACCTGAGCTATTCTATGATATTGTGTGCATCTATTAAAAAATATCAATGGTAAATTGTGAAAATTTTTTTCGGTTTTGGGGGATTTTACTTGTTTTGTTTTCAGTAAAGAGTTAAAAGTCAGATATAAGAAATATCATCAGGGTTGATTTTTTTTTTTAACGGAGTGTGTTCAAGTTCCTACTTCTACTTATCTGTTCAGAACTCTACTATGTCATCTTAACTTTTTACTTGATGTAAAAAAGCTTAAAAGGAACAGTTCATTTGCACCCTGCATTGAATTTTGTCAGGTGTAAATTAATTCTCAGTTAAACAGAATCTAAGCAGAGCGCATTATTATTTTTTATGGTTCTAATTTTCTAACTGATTTCCATTGAATCTTTTATTTTTTTAAACAACAAATATATTGCATTTAAAGATCCTTTCATAGAACCACCTCCTCATTTCTACTTGGTTTTACTTCATTTTCAATTGATAGAACTTTTTGATAAATATTCTGGTTATTAATGTAATTTGTTTGTTATATTATTAAACTGATGGAATCAGGTTTTGTAGACATATAATATAGTCAGACTTATGTTTTCAAAGACTAGGGTTTTAGGTTTGTTATTTTTTGTGATTCTTTTATATTAAACATAATGTGTATTTATGTTTGATAAATACTAATTCTGTAACCATTAAAACATACTAAGCAGCATTTAGTGATGAAGAGCATACAGGAAAAAACAAGTTATCTTTATAAACAAATTATTCCTATTCCAACTCAATTTTTTGGTTTCATAAGAAATGCAAATTATTTTTTATTTGTATTATAAAAAGACAATTATTTCCAGAATTATATTCTTTTTGTAAAACATCATCACTCCAGGCATCGTAATCTGTTCCTGACTAGGAAATCAAAAATCATCTGTCTTAAGATAATCTTTCTGTTTCAAGTCATTAGTACAGTCCTTTTTGTATATTGGAGCTCTTGACTGCTGGGGAAATGGCTGCAAAGCACTTTTACACAGATTTTTGAGAGGGAAATTACAAAGCTCTTTTTTGAGGGGAATGCTTTACAATTGTGAATTGTTTGTTTCGAGATATATCTTTATTTGACAGACTTTTAGTCCTAATGGTGGTTTATTGTGTTTATGACTGCTAATGCCTGTAGTTTTGTAAAGATGGAAGTCTATAACTCACCTACACTTTTAAAATATCAAAAAATATATACAATGGGCATCCAAAATCTATCTTTAGAAGAGAAAGAAGTTGGAATTCTCTTAAATGCTTTCATTTGCATTATAGAAATGTATACTACATTTTCACTTATAAGTCTTAAAATAGGATATGAGTTTGCCACGTGTTTATTGAGCATCAAACCACATAATGTTGTCTAGGAAGGAGGATTTCTCAGATTTAGAGTATCTTTTAATCTTCAACATTCATGCCAGTGTTCATAAATGGAATGAACTTATTGTGAGAAATTGCACACTGGAAGACTGTGCTTACATAAAATTAGTAAAACAACCTCACGAAGACTCTAGTGAGATTTCCAGTCTATTTGTTGAACATGCCATTGATCCATCTATTGAACATGCAGAAATAAGTTTGTACAGTTTTCTAAGTGATTCCCACCATGAACTTCATTTCCAGAGGAAAAGCCAAGGCTTTGAGCCTTGGTATTCTGAGATTCTTGACCATAGCTAACCATAAAACACTCTTATGCAGTTTGCTTTTTTCTTCATATTCTCTACTAGTGTAAGATGTCACACTCTGAAGACTCTTTGATAGTCTGTTCTTTGCATTAAACTGTTTAGCTGCTGAAATATGGGGTATTTAAAGGTCTGTGAAAAACAGGATTGCTAGAATTACTTATTAAAACTCTTGGAGCAGAAAGATGAACTCCTGTGTCTCGTAAATAAATTCATAGCCAGGCAAGCTTTACTTATTTAGATGAAAATGCTTGTTTTTCTACAAAATAAGGGCTGAACAGTTATTAAAGGAAGTGCTGCTGGCCTTGAGCAATGTAGCAGCTTTGATCTGTGCTTTAAAACTTCCATTGATAACAGTTCTTTTTGCTCAAAGTCTGTATGCCTAGATGCAGCAGCAGCAGCATATGTCATCAAAAAGTTACGCTTTTTGACAGAAGCAAACAGGAAGAAGTTGAAAATGTGAACTTCAGAAAAAAAAAAAAAGAAAAAAAGAAAAAAAGAAAAAAAAGAAAACCAGTTGTTTTTAAACCATTCCTGAAGCTAAATTTTACTTCATACTAAAGATACTCAGTTCTGGTCTGATACGCCTGTTAGGAACTGCTTGCCTAAAACTAAACTGTGTGTGAGAGGACTAGAATAGATTTTCCAGAGACACATATGAAAACATTTAAGAGCTATTTATCAAAACATATATATATATATATATATATATATATGTGTGTGTGTGTGTATGTGTATGTATGTATGGATGGATGGGTGGATGTATTTTAGATATTAAAAAGAGATACTATTGCCACAGCTGTAACTGATAATTCTCTTTTGGAATTAAAGCATTAAGGAAGTTTCTGTGAATAAAGAATATTTTTAAATACTGTTAAAAGATAGTATTGAAGAAATTAGGAAATAACACAAATCAATATTTGATAGAAAAAAAAATGCTATTCACCCAAGATATAAAAAAAGAGGGGAAAGGCTACTCCCTCTCATTTTATAGAGATCACTAAACTTCCTTATCTCCAGAGAAACAGTGAGTTTCGAAATAAGTCTTGTCACTTCATGGCACTGTGGTCTGAAGATCATAGTTACTTTGCAAACCAACAATTTCCTCTGTGTCAGACTCAGTGTTTGGTATATGTTTAATGCTGACATTTCTTACAAACCAGTCAGGTTTGTAAGAAAAACACACCAACTTTTTCATTGGCTGTAGCTTGATAATTTTATAAGGAACTGATACAAAGATTGTCCGAAATAATGAACACACAATATATCTTTTGCAGTAGGTAACATTTTTTGGTATTCTTTTGCTATTTTTAAAGTTTTATTTCCACAAATAAACATCTCTCTTTAAAAAGATTTCCTAAATTATAATAAAGTTTCATCCAGAAATGGGTGAAACATAGCACAAGAAAATTTAAGGAGTGATTGTAATTTCTCTATAGCGCAAGAACGGACAGGTGTTTTTAGGTCACCTCATTTTTTCGTATGAGGGTCTGGCTGAAGAATTTGTCATCCTCAAGAGGAAACACTCTTCCTCATTTCTGAGAGAGTGTCTTTCAAGGGCCTGTAATTGCCTAAAGTTAAATATATTTGACAGGTATTCTCTTTCCCAAGAAGTTCAGCTGAAACCATTTAGGAGAGGACAAAGTTACCAAGATAAAAGCCCAACAAACTCATGGTTGAATACTAATACTTCCGTATTCTGTAGGAAACTGACACAAGAGGTGAAATTTTTCATTGAACATGAAGGCTTGGATATGGGTATACAGCCTGTTTTACTAAACTGGTTAATAAACCTGTGCATTACTTCCTTTTTCCAGATGCTCCAATGTTCGTGTCAAATCAAACTGTGTATTACTCTTGGGAAGGCAATCCCATCAATATAAGCTGTGAAGTGCTAGCAAATCCATCTGCCTCAGTTCAGTGGAAAAGAGGAAAATTAGTTTTACCTGTAAAAAATACAACTCATTTGAAGACCTACAGTACAGGAAGAAAGCTGATTCTAGAGGTAAGACTTCAAATGGAAACCAGTGTGGTGGCAGAACATAATTTTGTCCTCAGTTTGGCAGCACTGTGAGTAGTGTAGAGTGTATTTAAGGCTAAAACATACAATTTAATAAGTAACAGTCTTAGAAAAGGAATAAAATATCAAAGCAACTACATATGAACTGATCTACCTACACATTTGTTATGAGTAATTAGAAAATAAATCTTATTTGAATGGCTTATGCTCATTTTTCCAACTACACCCAACAAAAATGTAATTTGCATTTATTGGAAGTAAAAAAATCCATAAATAGATATAAAACTAAAATATCAAGCTAAGACTGAAAATTAAAATGACTGCTTCATAGCACTTGGAGTCTACAAAAAAGTTTATTGTTTTGGTGGTTTTTTTGGTTGGGTTTGTTAAATTATTGTTTAAAGGTAAAATTTAAAGATGAACAATATCACAGTTTTCCATTATCAGATTTCTTCATTTCAAGTTGAGAAGGGGGAGTCAAACATGAAAAAATGTGTATTTAGGTCTATGTTTGAAGAATATACTATACATGTTGAAGTAAGAACACATCTGCATATTGGTTAAGGAGAAAATACTTAAATTTCTGATTTTAAAAATATATATATTTAATAAGTAACTAATATTTACAAACTCTGTTCATTTTAAAGATTGCTCCCACATCTGACAGTGATTTTGGACGGTATAATTGTACAGCCACAAACAGAATAGGAACAAGATATCAAGAGTATACACTTGGTCAAGCTGGTAAGTTAAAATTTTGTTTCTTTCTCTTGAAATATTTTTTTCAACTTTAATTAACATTAAGTTCAGACACCCTATCCTCTGTTTGTTTTATTCTGTGGACTGTTTTCAGATAATTTAATTGTCTAAGAACTGAGCTGCAATATGAAGTAAAATAAACCAGTTCCCTCAGAATATGAATCTTCTTTTGATGTAATTTTAAGGCCTTCTGAAACTTGAAAAAAATTAGTCTAACCTTTTTTCCTTTGCTCTTACCGTATCGTACGTTTATAACAATGTATTTTTATTACTTCAGCAGAGAGACATATGGTTGGCAGACAGTAAAAAGTAAAAAGGAATCAGAAAATTATTTTTTTCCTTTTTCTCCCTCATATTTTCTTGATAAAACAACAATGACAAGAGACTGAAATACATCAGCAAAAATGTATATCTCCATTTTTACTTATTTAAAAGTAGAATTTGATTGGAGTGCTAGATTGAAATAACTTAGACCCTGAGATATTCTACACCTTATTGTTACAGAATGTCTGAAAATTTTTATGTCCTTCTATTGTTGTTTTGGCAAATGGAAAAATCTGACTGTATGTTTGTTCTTTGGCAGAAATAACTATTAACTGAGACTATTAAATGAGAGCTTCTTAGCAGTGTTTTCAATTATATTTTCTTGTGGAATGGACTAACTCTCTATATTTTTTTTTCTTTCTCATTAGGACGCATATTCCAAGTGATTCTCAATGTTTTAGTTGCAAGTTTTGGTCTAGGTTTTTTGGGATTTTTTTTGGTTGGTTTGACTTTTTTGGTGGCTTTTTTTTTAATTTGGTCTGGTTTCTTGGGTTTTATTTGTTTTTGTTTTGTTTGAGGTATTTTTTTGTTTTTGTTTTCTTTGGGGTTGTTTGTTTTGCTTTTTTTTTAGTTAAAAAACCACTTTAGACTCCTACCAGGAAGACATTTAGGGGAGCATTGCACATCCAGTCACAGGGAAGCTCTATGACTTGGCCTGGTGCTATTATTTGAGAAGTTTTGCTCACAGGGCAACTATTTTATTTTGGTGTCTCAGGAATTATAAAACCCCATTATTTATTAATAGTCTCCCTGGCCTTTCTACAGTTTTAAAAGTTTTTTTCATCATCTCTGTGGGATTCTAGCACACATTTCTACTATAATATGTCTTGGGTTTTGAAGAACCATGAAAAAAGCTGAGCTTTCTAAAATAGGAAAACGTGGGGTTCAAATTTCTATGACACACAATTTTACATCACTTAGAACATCCTTATGCTTCATTTTATAACTTATTTGGAGTGTTAGCTGTGGTGTGATTTTACTTTCCTTTGACAACTACATTTGGCCATTGAGAAAAAAAGCTTTTCTTGAAGCCATGAACATAAATCACAGGAAAGGAAGGAAAATCCCCATTTGCATCTCTCTGGGGGCTTACCTCTCAGGAGACAAAATGATGAGAAAATGTTGTGGTTGCCACTGTGTGCTGTTTCTTCATAAATGTGTATACACTTCGGAGAACATTTCAACAGATATTCTCCAGAATGTTTTTTTTTTCTTAGATTTGCAGAACAATGTCTCATCATAACACTTGATATTACATGATGACTATTTTGACTATGTATATATCCCCTACTTTTATAATTAATTAATTGTACTAAAGAATATTAGCATTGAAAAATTACTTGAAAAAGCACATGATATTTTGTCATTTCATTTCGTTACTTCAGAAAATCCACACATGAGCACCCCTGGAAATGCAAGGAAAATAAATAAGCTACAATACTGACTTTTGCTCTTTAATACAAATATATCAGAAATATTACCGATGCCAGTTTTTTAAACAGATTAATATTTTCCACTTCTGCCATGTTTTGCTTATATTTTTTTCAGGAAGTTCTTCAGAAAACTTGGTGAACACTTAAAAATATGTTTTGTAGTTATAAATATAAAAAGAGAAATGAGGATAAATACAGTTATAGGAAGAGATCATGTAGAGCATGAGCTATACAGAGATATTCTAGATAATGATATTAAATGCAGAAAATAGAAAAAAAAAAGAAGGCTTATTAGTACTGATAATGAACAGGGCTGGAAAAACTGGATTTGGTTTGTCACTGTACACTGCTATACACTACCTGATATACACTACTTACAGCAGTCTAATGCATAAGATTCAGTATCCTGAAAGATTGATATTTTTAACATTTGCCTCTAAATAGACTTTGTTTTTAGAATAAAACCACAAACATGTAATTCACTATTACAAGTTTTGCACTTAAACTGCCATCAGCTAGAAATGGAAAATGACCAGGGATACGAAGGATAAAACCACTATAATGGATACAGGTATAAGATGTCAAATGCAGCTTTCTCCTTGGTTTTATTACCTTGGTTGCTTCACTCTGGTTAATTAGGAAGGCCTAAGGATTGATATTTTCCATATTAAAGCCTATAAAATAATTTAATGCATTTCAATGCAGCGTTCTTTGCCTCCTGGCTTTGATTGTAAATCCAAATGCTGGGGCATAGAATACTTTTACAAAGACTCTGTCAGGGAAAAAGAAATACAATTTCTAGCTGGGAGATAGTATTAAGTAAAGTATGATGCTAAGGTAAATTTGATCACAAATAATGATAATTTTGCTAAATCGTTTTCTCTTTAAATTCTGCAGGAATATTTGTTCCTTCATGTTTCATTCAATTTTATGATTTACTGGATTTCAGCACAATCAAACTACCTTTTTTATTAATTTACTGGTACTTAGAAAGTTATCATGCTGTCAAAATTCCATTATCTTTATTCCTGTTGCCTTCCTTAAGAAATTAGACTTACTGATGATTTTAAGAAGGAAGATTTCTTTCAGAATTGATGTGCAATTTACAGCCATATTTGTATGATAGAAAAACCTTGACTGTTCACTCGTATTATACAGAGCTACTGAATCAGACTGAATTCCATTTAAACCTTTCAAAACAACTGAGAAGCTGCAGGGTATTTGAGGTTTCATTCTGGCAGGTGATGCACTGCTTAGAAACTACAGAGTTTTGTTGAAAGCTTAATCAGATGTGCCCATGACCTGGCTGTTGTGGTGATCAAGTTTTAAAAATAACATATGGGTGACCTCCCTTGTCATTACTTGAGCTTTTAAAATCTTATGTGTATAACATATGGAAAGTGAAAAGAACCACAGTCACTTGATGCCACTGCAAATTAGTTGCTTCATGTCAGCACAATAGCCACAACTTTTATTTTAGAACTTTACTTACACTCTGGTTTTAATCTAAGTGAGGATTAAATTTTGGCAAGCTAGGTCAGCCTGGCAGGTGGCTCCAGTGAGTCTCAGAGGCTGAGGTGAGCACAGATATTCCTAGATTTGTCCAAATCTAGTTTATGCATATTTTATGTGTCACTATGTCACTATGCTAGCCAGTATGAACGAGAAAAGCATTCTTCTGTTTTTGAGGTCTCAGTATAATTATTTCAAATGTTTTGTGTAAGTAAGTAGAAAGACACATGGTCATAAATAATTTAGGATTATGTTATTGGAATAGATAATTCAATATCTTAAAATGGTAAATTTTAAGGTTGTGACATCTCAGGTTTCAGTGGTTGAGATGACCCCGAGGAAACAGAAAGTCTTTTTTTCCCAGCCCCGCGACTGAAGAAGTCAAGATTCGTTGGTTCTATTTTCAAGGTTGTTTATTTTTTCTTATCTATTGCATTCTTTCTCTGAGCTGCTGAGATCTGTCCTGCAGGTCTGGTTGTGGCACCACCGCTGCCCTTGGGGTGGTGTTAACTTTATATGCTAAGAACCACATGTACTTTATCTACAGTAATTTTCCAATACCTATCACCTATGTTAGGCAGTCTGTCTCTACTCTAAACCAATCAAGAAGTGTCACCATCACAGCAGAAGATGGAGGACAAGAAGGAGAAGAAGGACAGGACACACCCAGATTCCTCCATCTTGCCTCTTGAACCCCCATTCTAAAACCTCAAAATTCTACTTTTTCACCCTGTGACAAATTAACTATCATTCTACTCAAACTCTTGTGTCTTGTACATCTTCACGCAAAGTTGGTAATTTTCTCCATGGACTAAAATTGAAGGCACAGGTGGTTTTGACTCCATGACAAGGTCTCTGAGCCACTTGCAAGGGTCTTGAATCACCCAGGGCAGCCAGACGAATGTTCTGGGTCCTGACAGTGACACAGAGTTAAATGAGAATTTTGAAGGTTTCTTTAAAATATTAATGTAGATTTTTTCACATACCTGGATGTATAGCTGGGCTGAATTTAGAGCCCCAAAAAGTCAACTATGATTCACCTCTATGGATCTCATAGCCTTACTCTTCCTAAACTTTCCTTTCCCCTTCTTCCTTGTATTCTGGGATGACATGGTGTTTAGAAGTTCTGCTGTGGGCAGAAAAGTTTTCACTAGACCAGGGTGCTCAACCTCCAGCCCAGCCTGACCTTGAGAACTTGCAGCGATAGAGGTATCCACAGATATAGGTATCCACAGCTTCTCTGAGCAAATGAGAGATGCTACGTCTGCTAGAGATGTATGATTTAACTTTTTTCCTTCCTACAGGAATATTACAGGGAATTAAAAACCAAAAAGTCAATGATTCATTAGATAGTCAGAACTCCGACACCACTTTTTTGAATTACATATTCTTTAAGCATCCTGTGCCCACAGAAAATCAGTGGATGTGGGAAGTAATGACAACAAGGGAAAGACCATAATTGAGCTTCACAGAAAATATACCCTGTAACCTCTTTTATGGAATAAAGGCATGCTCATAATATGAAAAGGCTGATTGACAACTGACAAAGATTAAAAAATCAAATTTAGACATTTATGTGTGTGTAGTTTTGATGCTGGCACTTTGCTGCTGGTTAATGGATGTTCCTTTTTTCACCAAATATTTGCATTTCCATGCAGGTAAAATAAAATCAAAGCAATAGGACTTAATTTTCCCTGGAGAATGTATAATGAAAAA